CCATTGTTTGGGGCGGTGGCTCTCAAATTCTTCTTGAAGTGTATTTATTTGCAAGCTTGTGGGGAGAGAAAAGAAATGGTGAGATTGGTGAGATATGAGAGTCTTTCCCTCTTTGAAAATCTTCTGATAAAGCCAATTTGAGAGCTTTTTTGATAGCTTTTGAAATCGAACGTTTAAATGAAACATTCGCAACTGAATTTCATTGTTATTATTTAATAGATATGCTATAGTTATGCAAAATTAACAGACTTTAAAATGTCTTTTTCTAGCGGTACTTTTAAAGCTCTACAGTCGAAATTTCGATCTTCAGCTTAAAATCTGTTTCATTGTACTAATCCTAGTACTAGTCCTAGTATCAATACTAGTCCTAGTCTAGTCCTAGTATCAATACTAGTCCTAGTCTAGTCCTAGTATCAATACTAGTCCTAGTCTAGTCCTAGTATCAATACTAGTCCTAGTCTAGTCCTAGTATCAATACTAGTCCTAGTCTAGTCCTAGTGTCAATACTAGTCCTAGTCTAGTCCTAGTATCAGTACTAGTCCCAGTCTAGTCCTAGTGTCAATACTAGTCCTAGTCTAGTCCTAGTATCAGTACTAATCCTAGTCTAGTCCTAGTGTCAATACTAATCCTAGTCATCAATACTTCACTCAATAGCACAGAAATCATTTCCTAGGGTCATCAACAATTGTTCAAATAAGGTCCCCCAAGCAGACACCCGAAAAAGAATCTATTCAAAAAGAAAAGGGCTTTCAGGGACAAATGCAAATGAGAAGAGGGATTGGGGTGAGATATTGATTGGCTGGGTGTTCAAATCGGGGAAAGGAAAAACGGCTAGGGTGAAGAGAGAGAATGGGGGAGTGACTGGTCCTCACAATTACGGCATTTATTCTAACAGAAGCTCAGCTTCCAATAGTAGCTCAGCCTCCAATAGCAGCTTAGCCTCCAATAGAAGCTCAGCCTCCAATAGAAGCTCAGTCTCCTATAGAAGCTTAGCCTCTAATCAAAGCTCAGCCTCCAATAGAAGCTCAGCTTCCAAGAGAAGCTCAGCCTTCAATAGAAGCTCAGCCTCCAATAGAAGCAATAACTATAGATTTTCAGCTTAGTTGACCAAATACCCTGAGTTTTGAACCTTTAAGAATATATAAAGCTACCTAGACATTTCCTTGAGAAAAATTTCATTCTTTATCATTTGTTTTGCATAAATAGTGATAAATTTGATAAAAATTTTGATAAGTTTTACTTACAGTTAGGTAGATAGCTTATTTGAATTGAATTTATAACTTAAATTTAATGTATAACAATTTATAACGACCAGGTTTACTAAATTCTTAAGCTTAAGAGGTCGAGCTTAAGAGGTCGAGCTTAAGATAATTTATGCTATAAAACTCTCAAAGCTTTCAACATTTTGACGTTTTATATTTTAATATTCAATCCTTTAAGTAAAGAATTTGCTTAGTTCTTGCTTTCTTGCTTAGTTCTTTCTTTAGATTCTTGCATGAACTGCTTAAAAATCATTGGCAATATTTCAACCGTGCACGCAAAACCTTTGTTTGTTTTTGGCTTGATAAGAATCTTGTGATGTTTATGACTTGACATTTTCATTGCGATTCCGATTTGACTGGCTTCTTCATTTCAAGATTTCGAGAAAGCTTCTTCATTTCAAGCTCTCAAAAGGTTAGTTTTGATCGATCCTTATCAACTGCATATCTTTAGAACTAACAAGGAAGGTTCGTCAACTTACCACCAGTTTTTAAAACCTGGTCTAGCAGATCTAGATAGGTTTTTTTGCGCTGATTCCGAATCTGTATTCAAATCTATCCCGGACGATCTATGAGGCCAAGAAAAATTGTTTTAAAGTTGGCTAAAAAATGGATATTTGCGCAAATAAGGCACCGCCTTTAAGAAGGAAAGTTAAGGGAGAGAAGGCCTCAGAGGGCGTAGATAGGTAGAAGATTTGAGGTAGATTTAAGTACAGATTCGGAAACAGCGCAAAAAACTGGTCTAGATGTGCTAGGCCACGTTTTAAAAGCTAATGGTAAGTTGAAAAATCTCCCTTGTAAGCAATTGTAAGTCATTGTAAGCAATTGTAAGCAATTGTAAGCAAGTGATTTGCGTTGATTACCAATTTCTCCACACTCTACCATGAGAAACAAAATCAGTGCTTAAACCTAATCCTCAAGCAACAATTGGCTTTCTAAGAATTCGCTTGCTAGTAAGGGTGACTGAATACTTTACTTATTATCATTTCTATTTACCACTTTTTGTAGATCTTTAAAGTTCCGTTCACGCCCAATAATGACTCCTGATAAGAATCGATTTATCATAAGTCGGCAAAAAATGCAGAACCCTTCAAACTTTATTTGGTGATTCATCTGGAATTTCCCTAAAACTGCCATTTTTAAAAGGCCAGCTGGTCATAATTTTCTTCTTTTTTCAAATCTTTCAAACAAATCTTTTTTCAAATCCAAATAAGCAGCTGTGCTTAATATGAGTCACGAAAATATTTACATCAAAGCAAAGCAGCTCAAATTTTTGTATTCTGTTAGATTGGTTAGCTTCAAGGTATTTTTCACCACCAAATCAAGCAGAGGTAGAGTGTGTTTCTTTCGAGTAATTCATTCTAAAAGACGCCTATTCTAGAAAACTACCGTAATCCATTTATTTAGTTAATTTTTGTATCATTGAGTTTAGTCATTGACTGCGCCGGGCAATTCCACAGAATGATACTAAAATTGAGGCTTTTGTCTATCGTAGTTTTCCAAAATAAGCTCTACTTTAGAAAGCTATTACTCAAAAAGGAATACACAATAATTTCTGGGTTTTTTGATGATGTGCTTTAGCTTTGAAATCCAATCACTCTTTTAACAGAAAAGTGTGTGGCCAACAGCTTTCAACTGTGGTCAACAGCTTTCAACTGTGGCCAAACAGCTTTCAACTGTGGCCAAACAGCTTTCAACTGTGGCCAACAGCTTTCAACTGTGGCCAACAGCTTCCAACTGTGGCCAACAGCTTTCAACTGTAGCCAACAGCTACCAACTGTGACCAACAGCTTTCAACTGTGGCTAACAGCTTTCAATTGTAGCCAACAGCTTTCAACTGTGGCCAACAGCTTCCAACTGTAGCCAACAGCTTCCAACTGTGGCCAACAGCTTCCAACTGTGGCCAACAGCTTTCAACTGTAGCCAACAGCTTCCAACTGTAGCCAACAGCTTCCAACTGTGGCCAACAGCTTCCAACTGTGGCCAACAGCTTTCAACTGTAGCCAACAGCTTCCAACTGTGGCCAACAGCTTCCAACTGTGGCCAACAGCTTTCAACTGTAGCCAACAGCTTCCAACTGTGGCCAACAGCTTTCAACTGTAGCCAACAGCTTCCAACTGTAGCCTACACTATTGACCTCAGCTTCTTTTCTAGACACTTTCCCAAACCATTCCCAACTCTTTCCAATTCTTCCCAATTCTTTCCAATTCTCAATTTTGTCATTCCATTGTTTTCCAAGAAAGAACACGATAATACCGTATTGTTTTTGGAGTCTCAAAAACGGACACAAAAAAAGGCAAATACATAGAATAGGAGGGACTTTTCGGCCTTTTTCGGTTCTCCGATCCTTTCCCCAAAGTCAAAGACCTTTTGCCTTTTCTCCATTCCGACGTCCCCGTATTTGAAATCTTTTCTTTTCCATGTTTCTTTTCAGGAACAGCCTCTTTCCCTTTTTTCAATCCGCGTCCGCTTCTCTTTTTTGTTCTGTTTTGTTTTTCTATTGCTTCTCGCAGATTCTATTACAAGCACTCTCCACAAAACACAAAAATCTCTTCACAATTCTCTTTTGCAATAGTGACCCTTAAGTGTTTTCTGTGTGTTTACGTTTTTTGGCCTGCTTTCCTAAGATTCCCGGTTCTTGATGAGATGCACAAATTTGCTGACAACGAGATGGATGACTATAATTTAGGAAGTGGATAGTGTAGTGATTGGATGGTTTGTTGAGGGAAAAAGAAGGGATTCACGTGAACACATACAGATCAAACAATAGTAGAGCTTTGGACAAAAGGTTTTATATCTTTAGATTAATCAACTCAGCTTACTTATTTGATACTTGATAAAACTTTACTTACTTTACTTGATAAAGCTTTACTGCCTTTACTTGATGAAGCTTTACTTACTTGATAAAGCTTTACTTCCTTTGCTTGATAAAGCTTTACTTTACTTGATAAAGCTTTACTTACTTGATAAAGCTTTACTTCCTTTACTTGATAAAGCTTTACTTCCTTTACTTGATAAAGCTTTACTTACTTTACTTGATAAAGCTTTACTTCCTTTACTTGATAAAGCTTTACTTACTTTACTTGATAAAGCTTTACTTCCTTTACTTGATAAAGCTTTACTTACTTTATTGGATAAAGCTTTACTTCCTTTACTTGATAAAGCTTTACTTGCTAAAGCTTTACTTACTTTACTCGATAAAACTTTACTTCCTTTACTTAATAAAGCTTTACTTGATCAACCTTTGCGTACTTTACTTGATAAATCATAGGACTTGACTAAACTAAGTCAAGAACTAAATCAGGCATTTGACTTTATCAAAAAGATAAGCACAGCTGGTTTTCTTGGCCTTTGACTTACTCTGACCTTGATTTTACAAAAGTTTTGAAACATTTTCATGAAATAACCCAGGAGTTTTATTGAAGCTTTCACTTTTATTTTAATTAAACTATTGCTGGTCATCCATCCATCAAATTTGTTTGTTTATTGCTGCCATTTCTGGAAAACTTTATCAATTTTTGTCTCTCTGAGAATCTAATCGCTTTTTTTGAAGTGGAAACAGAATTTCATTGATTACATAAATTTCATTGCCAACCGGAATTCGGTTGTTGAAAAAACTATACATTTTTTTGTAAATTCCTTTCTGATTTTAGCTTTTATTCAATATTTGACTGAAACTCTAATACTTTTTATTCAGAACTATTCACTGCTGACGGTACTTTTTGCAGTTTTCTTCCCTTCATGTCTTCCACAGACGTCTGTGATCTCCCGAAGGGATTTTGGGAAATCGGGAATTATCGGTGAGTAAAAATGATCAATTAGACTAGAAAAATGCACTTTTAGACTTAAAAGAATTTGAAAACTTTATCTATTAAAAATTTTGAGCCTTGAATCTTGAAGCCTTGAAGCCTTGAATCAATACTTTAGCCACAATGTCCGTAGAATCAAAGACGGAGTCGATCAATTGGACGACTTTGCGAAGATGTGTCGCGAGAGAGCGGATATTGAAGGGAAATATGCAAAAATGTTACAGGTTTTTAGTTTGAAAGTTTTAAGCCCAAGAATTGAAAAGCAACGTCATTTTTAGGCATTCAGTCAAAAATGGAGAAATCACTTTGAGCAAACGATGCCGCCTTCCTCGACGAGGTAGGAATAAGCAAATCAAATTTAAATCTACGATTTATAAAAGAATTGTAGAATTTTAGATTTTAAAAGTTATTCTATAAGTATTTTATAAGTATTGGGTTGGTGAATTGAAAACTGCCGGACTTGAAAACTGAACTAAAATTTATTCAACATACAACCATAAATTCATTCCAAATAATTTCCATTATTATTGACGACTTCTGCCCATTTTACAGGCAATTTGCGGATTCCTCTTTCGTAGTAGGGTTTTGGTTTGTGTGTGAGACAAGTGTGAGACTCAAAAATCGAGGACTGGAGATGTCAGCTGTCAGCCCAGTTTGAGCACTTTCTTCAAAAGAAACCCATTTTGGTGTCAATAGAAAAGTTGTAGAGAATCAAAAATTAGGCTTATAGCCAAATTTCCAAAAAGATACACTTAGTAGTTTCGCTTAAAATGCAAGTTTTGTGAAAATTCGTAAATTTGGCATTTCTCGAAAATCAGTTTTTGAATCGTTCTGAAAATTTGGATATAAGCTTCATTTTTGATTCTCTACAACTTTTCTATTGACACCAAAATGGGTTTCTTCTGAAGAAAGTGCTCAAACTGTCACATATGACAATAGCCGGCAGTTTTCAATTCACCAACCCAATATAAAAGAATTGTAGAATTGTAGGTTTTTTAAATTTATTCTATAAGTATTCTATAAGTATTCTATAAGTATTTTATAATTACTTTATAAGTATTTTATAAGTAGAAATCATTTTCTGCAAATTTCTTTACCTGAAAAACCTCAGAACATCTCTAATGGAGGTGATCGGTGAGAGTGACTCGTTGGCAAATCTGCACGCAATGGCTAGAGATCGTCTCAATGATGAGGTTTGTCAAGAGCTGCTTTTGAAAATTCAAGACTAATAAAGAACGATAGATTTATAAGCAATATCATGATCAGCGGGACGCGTATAAAAGGTGGAACATACGCGCCCCGCCCCTTTGCCATTGGAAATCCACCTTTGAGCTCAAATATCTTGGTGTTGGGCTGTCCAATTGAAATAGTTTTTGTACCAATCGATAGAGAAAGACTTGGCGCATCTAATGATACCAAATATTCAGTAATCAATATCATTCAGATCGTGAAAACTCTCAGCTTATTCCGAAAAGAAAACCACCATCCATCCGCCTTTCGAGCACCGAAAGAGATCCGAGAAGTTGAGGATGCTTTTGAAAAGGTTATTTTAATTTTCCAGACTTTAGTAATAAGCTTAAATACATGTTTACCTAAATCAAATTTCAAATCTTTTTCTTTTCAGGCTCAACGCCAATGGAGAAAGCTTTACGAGAGGACTGAAGTCGCCAAGAAAGCTTACTACACCGGTGAGTATAGTTTAAGAGTACCAGTTTTCTAGCAAAGTATCAATTTCACTAAGGTAACCCGTTTTGTTATTGCTATAAACAGTAATAGTCTGCAAAATTTCGTTTAATATTTTATAGCTTGCCGATCGGAGCGAAGTGCAGCCGTTTTGTTGGCAAATGCTCAACAAGACACATCGATCTCGTTGGATGGAACGCAGAAAATGAGAGTGAGTTATAGACTGGGTAAAGATCAATTTTAGCATATCTTATTGATCAACTAGCATATCTTATTGATCTATCTTAAGCATTTCTATCTTTCAGCTCTCCTAGTTGAGTCAGCTCTTCTAGTTGAGTCAGCTCTTCTATTTTTCAAATGTAACCTAATAACCAAAACGTTTCAGGATCGTTGTGAAAAGGCGCACGAAGAAGTGTTGAGAACGAAGCAGAACTATGAGAAGTTCCTTGGCGAGATCAACACTTACAAAGTATCCAAAGTTATTCAAAGTATTATTCAAAGTACAAACGTTAAAATTCAATTATATGGCAAGGTGTAAGAGTCACAAGTACCGTTAAATCTCTGGCTTAGAAATGCTGTTAGAGCTACAGTAGTCAAGCCTAACTGTTGTTTCATAATACTATTTGAATCCTTGTTCCCACATTCGATGAAACAACCCCCATTAAACCATTTCATCCAAAAGATTCTCATGACCCAAATATTTGCCCTTTTCAGAGCCCTTATATGGAAAACATGTCGTTTGTCTTTGCGAAATGTCAACAAATGGAGCTGAAAAGATTGAAATTCTTTGTGGAAATGATCACCGGTACAGAGCATGTTCTCGTCGATCTCATCAACAACAATAAGTGAGAAATTTGCGTAAGAATAGACAAGAGAGACAAGAGAGTGGAGAGTTGAAAACTATTAGGTTGTTATAAAGTTATAAACGATCGTTTTTGGGTAATGTGTTTTCTGAAAAAACGGCTTATCCAATCAAAAAAATGGTTTGCTTGACTCAAAAGCTCTATCCTTAATCTACAAAATGGCTTTTTTTGAATTTTTGAAAAATCTTTTATTTTAGAACTTTTTCTGGCATTTTAATGTATGGAAAGAATCTTTCGTTATTCGTTAAGCAAACCGTTTTTTGATTGGATAAGCCGTTTTTTCAGAAAACACATTACCCAAAAACGATCGTTTATAACTTGCCAACCTAATAGGTGAACTTGGACGAATTTGAACCAGATACCACAATGAACCTGTCAACAATCAGGTTTTAGATTCCAACAACTCCATGAGCAAATCCAGCAAAGACTGAGAACGACCGATGAGCGAGCTTTGAATGAAGATCTCACCACTTGGTGTCTAGTTTATGGAATCGATGCGCCGACGTGTTGGCCAAATTTCGAGGTAAGCAACTGCACGAGATTTTTGGGCAAAATTATCCGGATAACTTTTTGAAAAGGTTGTTGTCGCTTAATTTATTTTAAAGTGTCAATTGTTATATCGAGAATTGTAGCCCTAAATCTTGGCTACATTTATCTACTAAAAACTTCCCAATCGGATTTATGCAGCTCATTTAACAAGTCCTTAAATGAGCACTGTCGTCCCTATGCGATTTTTGACAATTTGACGATGACGATATCTCGTTATAGTAGCTGTTATAGCGCTATGAAATTGTTGGAAATAACTTTTTAAACAAAATGCACACAAATTTAATTGAACAAAGTCCTTTTTAGATAAAATTTTTATGTAGAAAATCGTCAAAAATGGCAAGGCGCTGGAGCGGGATCGACTAGTGCTCATTCAAGGACTTGTTAAATGAGTTGCATAAATCCGATTGGAAAGTTTTTAGTAGATAAATGTAGCCAAGATTAAGGGCTACAATTCTCTATATAACGCTTGACATTTTGAAATAAATTAAGCGTGCGACAACTGCTTTTCTAAAAAGTTGTCCGGGTAATTTTGCCTAATCTTGTATACGGTTTTTTGGTCTTCATCAAAAACAAGATTAACATCTTGTTATTTAGGAGTACCATCCAGAAATGCGAGAGATTTCTGCGAGAAAGTGCTCAGCAAAGGATGCTTCTGGTGGAGTGGTCTTGACGAGGCAAGTGATCAAAGCTGACGATGAAATTCTACCAACTGTGGCTCCTCATCAGTTCCAAAAGCCACAAGAAAAAAGGTAAATAGATGAAATATATATGAATGATGATGATGAAATATATAAATGTTTGATTTTGAAGCCATTTAAATAGGCGTCTGGTTTTGAAGCCATTTAAATAGGCGTCTGGTTTTGAAGCCATTCAAATTGACGTCTGGTTTTGAAGCCATTCAAATTGACGTCTGGTTTTGAAGCCATTTAAATAGGCGTCTGGTTTTGAAGCCATTCAAATAGCCGTCTGATTTTGAAGCCATTTAAATAGGCGTCTGGTTTTGAAGCCATTCAAATTGACGTCTGGTTTTGAAGCCATTTAAATCGGCCATCTGATTTGGAAGCCATTCAAATAGCCGTCTGATTTTGAAGCCATTTAAATCGGCGTCTGGTTTTGAAGCCATTTAAATCGGACGTTCGATTTTAAAACTATTCAAATCGACCATCTGATTTGGAAACCATTCAAATAGCCGTCTGATTTTGAAGCCAAATGGCTTCAGCCAATCAAATAGGTCATCTGATTTGGAAATCTTTTATCTTCAAACCTCTTTTTACCTAAAAAAGTAATTTCACAAAGAATTTTATTAAATTTTGCCGACAAAATCTAGCCAAAACAAAAAAAAATTCTAGTTTTGTTCAGCACTTTAATGCCTTAACGAAAGCTTTATCTTAAAACTATCGAAATTTCGCCCATTTTGTTTATTAATCAAACTTTAAATAATACATTTTACAATGTACATTTACATTGCAATGTAGTTTATCAAAAACATTAAGAAATACAAAAGAAATGCATATTTTTCTTTATTTTCTAAGAAACTTGCAAAAACTCTAATTTCTTTAGTAATTTAGTGGTTCTAATGCTAAAACCTTCTGTTAAAAAGGTTTCAGAATCGAATTTAGCATATAAAAACATTTATAATATATAAAAATCATTTATAATATATAAAATTATCATTTAAATCCTTAGAGGACTTGAGATTCACCGACCACAACCGGGCAGCAGTCATGGAAGTGAAAATGGAAAGCAAGGGGTGAGTCGAAAAGTTGGTTTTGTTTGTTTTATAACAAGTTGAGCTATTATTTAAGTTTAAGTCTGTTGAGCTGGCTGTTATTTAACTTTAACTTTTAAATAATAGGCTTATTACAATATTGAAATTCTAGAGCAGCAGCGACTCCGATACCAACACTTTCGATTCACAGAAGAGCAATCAGAAGAACCGGAATAACAACAATAACAACAATAAGGTTAGTGATCGAAAAAATCAACAAAACATTGTTCAGAACATAATCAATGTGAATGGCTACAATGGAAATGAGGCCAGGAGATGGGAATCGTTGCCTCAAAAGCCCGTTACTTCAATGATCCATCCACCACTTCACTCAACGAATTCGATGAATTCCTCTTCTGCTGCTAGCAATCCACCATCGTCAAGAACCCCGGATTCAGAGAAATTCTCCGAATTCGATGATTATCAGAAAGTGAGCAAAGAGTGAAGATAAAAATAAAGATTTGTTTTTAGCAGCTCGCAACCGTGCTCTACGATTACAGTCCGATTGAGAATGACGAGATCGGCTTGAAGAAAGGTAGAATAGACCTAAAACTGGAGATTAACTATATATAGGCCTTTATATTATATAGTGCAGGAGATTTGAATTATGGAACATTTGATACGTGCCCTGTTCCCTTTGCCATTTGCCCTGTTCCCTTTGCCAAATCTAACTTTGAGCTGAAATATCTTGTTGTTAGGCTGTTCAATTTAAATATTCTTGGTATCATTAGATGTGCCAAGTCTTTCTCTGTCGATTGGTACACAAACTTTTTCAATTGGACAGCCCAACAGCGAGATATTTGAGCTCAAAGGTGGATTGCCAATGGCAAAAGGGCGGGGCACGTATGTCCCACCTTTTATACGCGTCCCGCCCCATTTGCCATTGTCAACTTTGAGCTCAAATATCTTACTGTTGGGCTGTCCAATTGAAATAGTTTTTGTACCAATCGACAGAGAAAGATTTGGCGCATCTAATGATACCAAGAATATTTAAATTGAACACCCAAACACAAAGATATTCGATCTAAAAGTTAGATTACCAATGGCAAAAGGGGCGGGCGCGTATCAAATGTCCGATAGCCTGAGATTTGAGGGCTGTAATACTCTTTTCTTAACACATTCGCGACGATTTTCTTAATTCTTAACACATTCGCGCGATTTTCTTAACACATTTTGGTCGTGCAATTGCTTAGTCGTTAACTGTTTTATTAATATTTAGATGAAAATTCAAAGACAAATTCAACTATTATAGTCATTAGAAAGTCCTGAATCTTTTCTTGAAACTAATACAAAGTACTAAGAACTTTTTGCGAAACAAATAACAAAACTTGAGTTGACATCAAAAATACTCGTCATTAGAACGATCGTATCGTCGTGAACGTGTTAAACATACAATTTTACATTGGGTGTCTTATCTATTTAAGCAAGCAAGGCTGTTCGGAAAAGCTAAAAGTTATAGTATTCAAGCCAAGACCAATCCAAGATCGATAAATCAAAAACCAAGGCTTAGCCTGGAGAATTGCGGCATGAAACAGCCCTGTAGGTCAAAGGGATAAAAAAGAAGAATGAGTCCTAAAAAGAATGAGTCCGAGTTTTGAGCACAAATTGTACATTAAGATAACAACCTTATCTTACTACTAAATTTAGGTGAAACGATTGAGGTGCTTTCCGAGCCAGACTCTCTCGGTTGGTGCACGGGGAGAAAGGGCGGCTTGACGGGACTCTTCCCGGCTAGCTATGTTCAAGTTATGTGAAAAAAAAAAGCCAAAATATTCTATAAATCGTGATCAGTTTTATTCTGTGCTTTATCCTTGTGATCCGTCAAATTCACTTTGTAGCTGAACTAAAATTCGAAAGTTGAACTAAAATTTGCATTATTTGAATGTTTGATAAAGTTTTATTGATAACAAGCTATGAATAATAGAAAAAAATAGACAACAGACTAAAAGAACATTTAAATTGAACACCCAAACACAAAGATATCTAATCTAAAAGTTAGATTGCCAATGGCAATCATTAGCTATAAATTAATGAAAGTCAAAAGTGAATCAAGCAATATGCACAGGATTTTCTCGATCTTTTTACCAGCCAAACATTTTGTTGAATTGTTCTCCTATTTCGTTTTGCTCTTCCTCTCTTGGCAAACCTGTTGGACTGCAAATCAAAACCTGAAAAATATTTGTCTATATCATTCAAGTTTTTCCAAAACCTTATTCGACAAAAATCTTATCGGAATCAGTCTGCAATTTTTTGAGCCAAAGACTCTTGTGTTTGCTTCAAGGATCTGAAATCAAAATTAGCACTTCAGTTGGTGAATTTAGCTCACATGTTTCTCCATTTCTTCTTTATTCTGCCAGGCGTCCATCACCAAAACGTTGTAGATGACGACACCTGAAGAATAGAAGGCCGAAATTATGGAAAAATACGGAAAAATATGGAGTTAATTAAATGGTTAGTTGTCCAGTATACAGATCCCATTGTTCTCTTTCCAGCTGATCTCACGCTTTAAAAAGTTACTGATATATTAGGCTGTCCAGAAAGTCTTTCGTACTTCCGTTGAAAAAGGCTATCGGACATTTGATACGCGCCTGTCCCTTTTGCCATTGGCAATCTAACTTTTAGATCAAATATCTTGGTGCTGGGCTGTCCAATTTAAATATTCTTGGTATCATTAGATGCGCCAAGGCTTTCTCTGTCGATTGATACAAAAAGTATTTAGATTGGACAGCCCAACACCAAGATATTTGAGCTCAAAGTTGCCAATGGCAAATGGGGCGGGAAGAGGTATAAAAAGTGGGACGTTCGCGCCCCGCCCCTTTTGCCATTGGCAATCCACCTTTGAGCTCAAATATCTCGCCGTTGGGCTGTCCAATCTAAATAGTTTTTGTATCAATCGACAGAGAAAGCCTTGGCGCATCTAATGATACCAAGAATATTTAGATTGGACAGCCCAACACCAAGCTATTTGAGCTCAAAGTTAGATTAACAATGGCAAAGGGAGCAAGGGACGTATCAAATGTACGATAACCTAATACAATGCTGTCTGACATTCTCAGGACTTGTAAGCCCGCCCAGAAGCCATTTCCAATGGGATTTCTGGCGGGGTGAAGCCAAGATAGACGTATAGTAAAGCCAAGTCTTTTTCCAGCCCAATGTTACACTGGTACTGAATATTTTCAGGTTTTTGCCTTTAAGTGTAACCTGTCCAACTCACCACTTTGCCTCAAAAGCTTTTTGAACGCGACCAATCCCTCTTTTTCCATGAATGGATCGACCGGGCAAACGTTTGGCTTTTTCCTGTTATTGTAACAGGCATCAACGATTATCGCATCGAAAATGCCAACTGAAATTCAGATAAGAAAACTTTAGAATACAAATTCAAACCGTTTTTCTTTGCCACTTGATCCTTGATAAATTTTGCGCCATCCTCGATTATGATTCGACTTTTCGCATTCTCGACGACTTCAAATTGCTCTAATGCCATCGGTTTTGTGGCCGGATTGATATCAACCATTGTTACATTGATCTGAAAGTTTTGGATCAGGAATTTTCCATGAATATAGCTTGATAAAGATTCACTTTTTGGAAAGCGGTTGACACAAAATTGCTGATTCCACCACCGCCAAGGCCGATGAACAAGACATCACCAATGACTGACTCTGAAAAAAACAATAAACATTTTAAGCGCTTCAAAGATGAATCCTGGAACTTTTACAATGATTTCAAAGTCTTTAGCTTCTTTATATTTAGAGATCTTGGCAAACTTGTCAATCCAAGAGCTCCCGAAGTGAACATTGAAGAGACGATGACTGATAAGTAGCCAATTCTCGGCTTCCCCATCTTTTCAATGTGCCATTTGCTCGAATTCAAATTTTCTTTTGTGTATTCTAAAGTTTTAGTTTAAAAATAAACAAAAACGGCTTTTTTAAAGTACCTGTTGGCAATTTGAGCGGCGTTTCTACTAAAATCACTTCAGCGAAACCTTGTGGTGTGATGATTCGTTGAGGACCATCACTAAAAGGCTTGCCTTTTTAAGAAAGCTTTAAACCTAAACTTACAACTTAGAATATCCGCCTGGCACTTCTTTAACCGTTTGCCAGACATCTTGCACAATGAAGCAATCGTTTTGCCAGCAATATTTTCCACGAAATTGCGGTTTTTTCAGATTGGTCTAAATTTTAGGAGAACAAGCTGAATTCGATTCAAGACTTTGATTCTCAAGCTTAACTTCGGGAAACTTTCAACTTCAGGGCCTATAGGGCAGGATGAGCCAGGCCAACTCACAGATTAGACCGGCTCAGGAAGGCCAGAAGCCAGGTGGTCAGGCCTGACTTCTTAGACATGAGCTTGCTCTTGCTTGCTTGCTTGCTTGCTTGCTTGCTTGCTTTGCTTGCTTTGCTTGCTTTGCTTGCTTTGCTTGCTTTGCTTGCTTTGCTTGCTTTGCTTGCTTTGCTTGCTTTGCTTGCTTTGCTTGCTTTGCTTGCTTTGCTTGCTTTGCTTGCTTTGCTTGCTTTGCTTGCTTTGCTTGCTTTGCTTGCTTTGCTTGCTTTGCTTGCTTTGCTTGCTTTGCTTGCTTGCTTGCTTGCTTCCTCGACTTGCTCGACCTGTAGTGAAGTTAGTCAAGACCAAAAGCCAGACAAAAGCTAGCTTCTACCCAGACTTGGCTCGAACTACCTTTGAAGTGCTCAAGTCTCAAACTCTGCTCAAGCTCAAGTCTCAATGCTTATCCGAACTCACCTTGACCCGGTATAAAAATTCATCTTGTGTAATATAATGTGTGGGTTCACTGCTTGGCGATATCACCTTCCAAAACAGAAAAGCCATCATAGCTAACTAAAAGAATTCAACTGTGAATACTAGAGAAACCCACAGCAGCAAAGAGAATCAATGTGTAGCGGTTGACTCGAAGAGAATTTTTCAGGTATCTCCGTAGTTGTTGGGACATTATCTGAAAGTATGCAATGAAGAGTATGGTAACTTAAAAACATCTGCATAACAAGTAGATAGTGCAGTTAGGGATACATAACCAATATTTTGCTTGTCCAGTTGGATATCAAAAGTATTGAGTGGAATCAGGACCGGGTTCTTCTATGCACTGTCTATGTAATCTTTTTTACGTTATGAGCATAATTTTTGGCTAAAAAAACTGTGTAGAATCAATACTTTAGACTAAACTAAACAACTATTAGGGTGTCCGGAATGAAAATACTCTCAACTTCAATTGCTATTTTTTCCGTGTAGCGAACTGCCAATTTTTTTTGGTGTCACCTCTGATTTCTGTTTTGTTCCAAAGTTGTAGATCTTTTCTAATTCTATGTTTTTATAAAATTTACTACCTTATAATTTTGTCTTTTTTTAGAATTGAAGATCAGAAGTACCGAATTCGGGTGTGCTGGCTCTACGACTTCAAACAAGGAAAAAGTGTCCGGGAGAGCCATAGTTCAATCTTGAAAGTCTTTGGAGAAACTTGTAAAGCTTGTATTCAGAAGCTTGGAGAAGCTTTTGGAGAAGCTTTTGGAGAAGCTTGTATTCAGGGCAAGCTTGTAAAAAATGGCTTCAACAATTTAGAGAGGGAGATGGAACTCTAAAGGATCGTGGACGTGGTCAGCCCCCTCCAGCGCTCAACGATGACGATCTTTCAGAAGCCATTGAAGATAACCCAACCTTGTCGACTCGGGAACTTACAACGATGTTTGCTTTAAGCTGCACAACAATTGCGGACCATTTACATCGTTTGGGTAAAGCGTATCTCGTCAGAAAATGGGTACCCCATCAACTTAGTGACGCTAATAAAGCTACTCGAGTGACTATGGCATGGACTATGAAACTATGGAATTGAGTGAATATGGAATGAAGCCGGTATTCTTCTTCGTCAATCAAAAAATCGAGGTTTTTAGGATACTACTGTGACGGCCGATGAAAAATGGATTTACTACGATGACTCATTGCGCAAACGGTAGTGGTTAAGTCCAGGAAAACAGCCAAAAACGACGCCACATCGTGACCCGCATGGAAGAAAGGCCAGGTTATCTGTTTGGTGAAATTCCCATGGTCTTATACACTTTGAGGTTCTACCTTCTAGTCGAACAGCCACCTCAGATCTATATGTGCAACAGCAGGAAAGAGTAGACCAGCACCCGGTTTCACCACCATTTTAAGTCAGTGACTTAGGGAGAGGTGACTTAGCGATTTTTGCTAAGTCAGTGACTTCGTTAGGTCACCGACTTGGCAAATATTTTTAAGTCACAGACTTAACGAGAATTTTAAGTCACTGCCTTAGCGAGAAGTCAGTGACTTAAAAGATAAGACACCATTTCACCACCATTTAAGTCAGTAATTTTGAATTAAGATTAAAATGAGCATATTACAATTTCAAATGAAATAAACGTTTATTCGGGCTTTACTTATTTGTTACTTATTTAGTTAAGTATTTGTTACTTTACATTATTTGCTATTTGATTAATTGTTCTATATAACCAATTCTTTTATTCTTTTCCGTTATCTTTTTAAATCTTCGATAAATTTAAGTTCTCCAATTGATATTGGATTGCTGAGAGCTTCTTTTATCAAGGTGTTGTTGTTTTGCGGTGAAGACAAGACATAATTTCCACTAAGTCACCTCTAGGAGAAGCCCCCTAGCTGACTTAGCGATTTCCATAGAAACGCGAAGTCAGTGATTTAGCGTGGTGAAAATGGTGACTTAGCTCTAAGTCAGTGTCCTAAATTGGTGGTGAGATGGTGACTTAAGCATTTTAAGTCACTGACTTAGCTTAAGTCAGTGACTTAGCAGTGGTGAAACCGGGCCCAGGCTGTCAAGAATCAAGGTGTAAACACATCGACTATGAGATATCTGTAAGATAACGCGCGCCCACACACAGCAAAGAAGATGCAGGAAAAACTCGAGGAATTGGGTTGGGAAAGTCTCCCGCATTCGCCGTATAGTCCAGATCTGGCACCCTCAGATTACCACTTATTTCGATCTATGCAGCACTTTCTGACCGATAAACATATCGGTCAGAAAGTGCTTCAAGGACCACGGCGAAGTTCGAATTTGGTTAGGCCAATACTCGCAGCCTCAGAATTTCTTCAGCAAAGAGATCCGAGATTTGAAAGAAAAATAGAGAAAGACTATTGCCAACAACGGAGAATATCTTTTGGATGAATTGTTTTCTTTTTTGGTGATAAATTTGCTTTTCAGTAAAAGAGTATTTTTATTCCGGACAATCTAATAGTTTAGATAAAAGTTCGTATAATAAAAATAGCCAACAACTTAGCCAACTTTGACAAATCTTTCCCCTTTTCGACATCGAGAAAAATTGAGCGTGAGCGACGGTCTGAATACAAATCAGATTGTCAACAGATTTTTCATCAATCAATCAATGATGTGCCTCTTGATGAAACGCTTCGAACGAAAAAAATTACTGAAGTAAAATTGTTTCCATTGTTAAACTAGAACAGAAAGATCAATGTATCAATGATCAATGATCAATGAATCAAAGAAAATGAAAAGGCCAATTCTAGAATGCACTTTGATAGAGTTTACAATCCAAATTACAGAAGTACTCCACATTGGATTATCGGTGAAAGGATGAAAGGATTATCAGTGAGAAGCTTTGAAATTACTGTATGCTGTAATTACTGTCTTTTCGTTCAGTAGTCCCCAGTTTTACAGGGTGACCAGAAATAATGTTGCGGGATTTTCGGCAGCCTAAATTCCTCAAAGTTTCAGTTTTGGGAGACAAATTTATTTTTAACCTATTCTCTGTGATTGTTTTTATTAGTTTCTTTGTTGCTTTACTTTGTTTCAAGTCTATTCATTCTTTTATAGGATGACAAACAAGGGATCTGCCATTCTGGAGCTTCATCGTCAAGGTCAACGCGTGATTGCTACGTGTTTCTCATCAGCTCGTCTCAAAAGCGATTAAGCGATACAAGGAGCTTGGCAACGATGGAGATCGTCCAGGAAGCGGTATAAAAAGAACTATCAACCCCTCCAGAAATCGCAAAGTAATTCAGAAGAAAAGTAGATTTTATGCTCTCTTTATATCATGTTATTAATAAAAAATTGTTTCTGTTACAAAGTTACAAAGTTTTTGTTACAAAATCTTTTTGGATTTTTAAAAAATAGGCTAAATCAGGCCGCAACGTTATTTCTGGTCACCCTGTAAAAGCCTTTTAGTACAAGCTCTTTCTGCAGTCTTAATCCTTGCTAAATTTCGTTGTCATTCAAAATATTAGGTTGGAAAGAAAGTTCTCGAGAAAAGTTTGACTGGAATTTCTTAAAAACGAATCCACCAATTCAAGCACACTTTGTTCTATTATTTGCAAGTCGACTCCAAGTAATTACTCGTAAAAAAATGAGTACAGCTTTCCTTTAAAATTTTTGAGATTTTTGGAAAAGTATTTAGAAAGAATTCTTGTTTTTTAAGAAATCACCTTGCAAACTTTTTCCATGAACTTTCTTGCCAATATAGACTTGGCAATATGCCAATATAGATGCCAACTTAATAGAATAATCATAGTAAACCCCAGCTTGTGTCTGTAACATTTCTTGGAGCTCAAGGCCAATTGGGTGTTCGTGAAAGTGCATAGAACGATCATACAAAAAAGTTAGTTCCTGTTTGGATACTAGTCTAGAGATTGAGAATCTAGGGTTTAGCTTTGAAGAAAAGTTTCTAGGAAACATTCTCAACTTATCATGTCCCTTTTGTTGGTTTCTTTGTTAGATTCAGTAACAACAAAGTACAGACAGACTAGTCTAGAGTGCAAACAGGCTAGTTTTTGATCTGAATTCTTAATAAATTTAACTCTTACTGGCTTGAACAAAAAGACAATAGTATGAAGGCAGTAGATCTCTTGCCCCTGCTTACATTTAACAATTGTATGGCTAGGTCCAGTTATTTACAGGCTTTTTAGACTCTAAAGCCTATCTGATACTAGTCTCATTGTTGGATTTGAAAAGCATTAGATAAAATTTGCCTTAATCGTAAATTTTCCCTATTTCAAGTACTTGATTTTAGGTTTTGAATGGAACCCATTGCCTATCCATTAACCCATTAAAAGCTTGTCTAAAGGCTGGTCACTCAAAAAGTGATCAAGTCACTTCATTTGAAGAAATCTCTTATTTTTTTATCTGAAGCTTACTCTGATTTTCAGCACAGACTAGTCTAGAGTACAGATAGAATACTTTTTGATCTGAATGCATAATAAATTTAAATGTTGCTGAGTTGAACAAAAAGACAATAGTATGAAGGCAGTAGATCTCTTGCCCCTGATTACATTTAAGAATTGTATGGCTAGATCCAGTTATTTACAGGCTTTTTAGACTCTAAACCTATCTGGTACTAGTCTCATCGTTGGATTTGAAAAGCATTAGATAAAATTTGCCTTAATCATAAATTTTCCCTATTTTAAATACTTGATTTTAGTTTTTGAAGGGGAAATCAGCCACTGAACAGGTGAAAATTTGCCCAATTCGAAGGGAAATGAGTCTTCTGAAAAGATTTTTGGTTTCATTTTTACAAAATATGATTAACTTTCCAAAATCATTAGCCTAATGTCTTCTGCAATCAATATCAGTATTGATGTGCCGGTGGGATTGGTGCCATTTTGGAATGTGAACGCCGTTGTGGAAGTGTTCGTCTTGTCGCTTGGGATCTATATGATTCTCACAAAGTCCACGAAACAGATGCACGAGTACAAATGGTATCTGCTGAACATTGCGGTAAGTTAAACCAAGGTTTATTATTTATTTAAGGTTTATTATTTAACATTAGAATAGAATGCTAATCGAAACTAAACAAGAAGCGTGGCCAGTTCCGGCCAGGTCTGGTTTGGTACAAATCTTGCACATTTCACCTGTACTAGACAATCCATGATACAATTTGTTATTTTAAAGCCCCAATTAGAGTCATTACAAAATGATTATTAGTCTAATTTCTAGATCTCAATCTTCAACTTTGATGTTACCGTGGGTGTTCTACTTCGTCCGATCTCTCTTTTCCCTCTATACGGCGCTTTCGATATCGGTCTTCTGAATTGGTTTATCTGTGAGTATTTCAAACTCAAGTTATCATCCACCAACCGTAACTCGATTTTTTTGGGGTGAAGATATATTAGATTTTCTTAACTACCGCATTCTCCATAATACTATTGCGCTAGACTGTTTTTTCAATCCTTTCCCAACCCCTATTCCTTACTATTAAAGACTGCAATACTCTTAAAGAGTTTTAGCAAATTATCAAAATAAAAAGATATAGCATTTCCTCTAAAAATTCTTGCAAAATGAATCACTTTCTATAAATTTTTTTAGCAAGACATTCAAAAAACAACAAAAGAGGATAAAAAAATTAACTAATCAAGAAATCAACAACACGGAATTTTTTGCCCTCCATTTTTTGCCAAAAAGCAAATGATGAAATTTGGAGCACTAAACGTTATTTATGCAGACATCTTTTACTTTGTATATATGCAAAAAAGAGGGAAGAAACGGCGCTTGAAATTACAAAAAACATGTTAAGTAGTGACGCTTCATTATTAAGTTGCCAACCTAATAATTTTAAGTACATTTAAATTTTGTGAGTACTATTTTTCAATGCCGCGCAATACTACAGGGTGCGGCAAAAGTTCGGAGCCGCTTCTTAAGATAGTTAAAGGTTTAAAAACTAGTTTTAAAAAGTTAAAAATTAATAACAAACTCTTTATTCGAATCATAACAACAAATAACTTATAACAAATGCTCGAAATTTCCACCATCCGCTTCGATACACCTCTTTAAACGCTTTGGGAAGTTCCTCACGATGGTGGCGCACGCTTAAACAGTTATTTCATCCCAGACTCGTTTCAGAGCAGATTTTAAAGCATCCACTGTTTGATACGTCTTCATCGAGATCTTGCCTTCCAAAATAGCCCAAACGGTGTAATCGAGGGGATTAAGATCCGGCGAATTTGAAGGCCAAATGGTCTTATCCCAAAAGCCTGGAAACAACTGAGCGCAAACGTTGAGAGTTGAGTGAGCACCATGCGCCGGAGCCCAGTCCTGTTGCAGGGGAAAACCAGCTTGTCCAAAGTGATTTGTTGCCCAATGTTTCAAGACATCTTTTAATACCAGTTGTTGGCAGTTTTTAGCATTCATCTTGACTTTTCTGTCCAAAAAACAGGCTGTGTCTTGCTTGTAGCACACATACCTCCACACATCATAATCGAAGCTGAAAAATGCTTTCCAACCATCAAATTTGCCGTAAATGTGTTCTTCAGACCCCTTTTGAGAAGTTCTCTATGATTTTGGCGGTTGTCCAATGACTGGATAGAAAAAATCTTTTCATCTGTGAAGAGGATCCTCTCAAGTAGGCCAGTCGCCACCGAGCGCACCATCTTCTTTGCTAGACGCTTTCGTTTCTTCTGGGATTTGTCGCTCAAGACGTGTACTTTAGCCAATTTGTAGCTAAAGAATCTTAGTTTCCCTTTAACAATCCTTCCAACGCTTCGAGGGCTAATTTTCAGCTGTTTGCCCATCTTTCGCATCGACCGCAGCTTGTTTTGGCGAATCCGAAAGCGAATTTCGTTGATGTTCGTAGGTGTTACGGCAGTTGGTGGTCGACCACTTCGAGGGCGATCCTTGTTGTTCTTTATCTCCTTGTAGCGTTTAATTGCTTTGTTGACGGTGCTTTTTGGATATTTCGTGATTTTTACAAGCTCCGGGCTATTTTTTCCGCCTTCGTATAATCCGAGAATCACATCGCGTCGTTTTTTGGCGTTCATTTTTACGAATTTTCTCCTAAAAAGAAAATTTTTGTAACAAATCACCTTAATTATACTCGAAAAAGGGGAAAAAAGTATACGAGACACAAAAAAAAAGCGTGAGCTAAATTTTCTGCAATGTTTTCATAGTGGCTCCGAACTTTTGCCGCACCCTGTATCAGAGAGTGCCATACTATTAGGAAGAATACGGTATATTATATTTTAAGACAGTTTTTTTGCCCCAAATGAGGCTGAGAAAACGTGCATACGGACGGACAGACAATGCTCTTTTATATATAGATAACAAAGATTAACAGTGACTTTCAACTATGGCGATAATCGAGACGTGATCGAAGCTCTTTATCGGCCGGCTTTGGCGTTAATGCTTGGCATCTTGAACAACACCACATTGTCGCTAGTGAATGGCTTTCTTTATAGGTGAATTTTTGTAGTTTTCAAAAATTGACTAACAATAGCAGCACCAGTAGAACTAGGAACTCCAAAATTTTTTCAGATGGATCGCACTACGGCCCAGTCTTTGGCTTCACAACGAGAAGCGTTACATGTACATGGTTTGTGCGGCTTTTCAATTGATTGGCGCGTGTCCCGAGCCGCTTATTCTTCTTTTCTGTTACACGCCGATGGAAGTGATGCAGGACTACATTCGAAAAGTGAGCAAGTTAAAGTTGAAGCAAAGAATTGAAGCTAACAATTGAAGCTAACAATTGAATCAAAGAATTGAAGCTAACAATTGAAGTAAAGAATTGAAGCTAACAATTGAAGCTAACAATTGAAGTAAAGAATTGAAGCTAACAATTGAAGCAAAGAATTGAAGCAATTATTCCCAAATAATTGCCACCAATTTCTAGAAATACCCTCAATGGACTTACATCTTTCAAGTCAAAACCTGGATGATTTTTGACCCCGAGATGTGCTCGAATTGCCGCTACCTACTGTTCTCAATGGTTTTTATCCAAATATTCTTGAAACACCACTTTATAGGCTTTTTTCCTAGTTGCTTATGTTGGGATTGCCGTTTGGGCGTTGCTCGGTATTTTCTCGGCTCTCAAATCAAACATTGAGTCTTTCAGCGCTCAAACGGTGAGTCGATAGCAAAGGTCAAAGAAAATAAAGATCAAAATCAATAACCGTTTAGATAAAACTCCATCGGCAGCTAACTCTAGCCTTAATGGTTCAAGCCTCCGTTCCGTTCGCAATGTTCATTTTCCCAATGGGCGCCGCTTTAGTGATGCTCTTCACCGGACTGCAAAATGTGCCTGGTTAGTAAATTTTAAACCTAAAAGTCAAAAGAACTCAAATAATGTACTCACGCGACGTTTTTAGTGTTCTACACTTTTCTGCTCATCACCGTGTGCTCGCATTCAAACTTCAATGTGGTGTTGATGTTAAGTTTGACTTCTTGCTACAGAGAAACACTGAGAGACGCTTTTTATCATTTAGCGGAGGTAGACGGGATCTCTGATTCTCCAAAAATTAACTACAAATTGATCTTTCAGAAAGTGACTGGCGGGAAGTTCAAAATCACCAAAGTCAAAGAGATTTCCGTGCAACCGAGTGGATCAGAGTATTGAATCTGACATGTTAAACTGTGTGTTTGTCTTGAATTTTGCAAAAAAAAGTGTGCTCTGTCATCTTTTCCTCAAAAGAACTAAGAAAAACTGTCAAAACTAGTTAAATTCAGAGTTAATTCAGAGTTTCACCAAGACTTTCAGTTCAATTCGTCAGAATTTGCTCGTTGCTATGGCAGAGAACACTTCACAATGTTTTTCTTTTGCGTAACTGATTACAAAAGTTAGTTATTAGGTTGAGGAAAAAGTAATGTCGATTTTTGTCACAAAACTGTTTATTGCTAAAACCATAAAAAAAACAATGAGAATCAATCAATGAGATATTCTCCATTATTATTAATGACTTGTTCCCATTTTCGTCGCAATTCCCTGATCCCATTCTCAAAAAAATGGGGAGGAGCCAAAATAAGTGTCGACTGCTTTTTTGATCTGTGCATGATTTCCGAACTTTTCTCCCATAAGAAAACTCTTCAACGACCGAAACAAAAAATAATCTGGTGGGGCCAGGGACTATAAGGTGAAGTTTCCAACCAAGCTCGTCAATTTTTTTGGTGAATGATTTTTGTAGTGTGAGGTTTTGCATTATCATCCAAAAATAGCACTTTTGATGTTTCAACGCCCAATTTCTTTAAAGCCTCGTTAACTCTCATCAACTGTTTTGAATAAAGATCAGCGGTGACAGTTTCTCCGGGATTCAACAACTCATAATACACTAAACCTTTTGTATTCCACCAACAGCAAAGCATAGGTTTCTTTCCATGAATATCGGGTTTTGAAATTGATTGTGGGAGTTGACTTAGAGAAAGCCATTGATTTTTGCGCTTCATATTCCTATATTGAATCCATGTTTCATCAGATGTTAGAAGTCTTCCCCAAAAATCATGAGATTTGCCTTTTTGAAGCAAACTAGAGCTAACGATAACACGAGTTGTTTTGTTGTCTCGAGTCAGTTCATGAAGAACCCATCTTCCGCAGTGAATTGCTTTCCGAAAACGGAGCTCTGCGAACCTTTTGAAGATAGCAGCAATGGAGGCATCGTTCATCTAGGTCGATCCTCCCCAATGCAACTCGAGTTTGTTGTGGAACCTGGCGACAACTTTTGGATCAGGCTGAACTTTTTTAGGTTGAGGGAAAAGTAATGTCGGTTTTTGTTACAAAATTGTTTATTGCTAAAAACATAAAAAAACGCACATCAATCAATGAGATATTCTCAATTATTATTTATGACTTGTTCCCATTTTCAATGAGATTTCTCAAAAATGGGGAGGAGCCAAAATAAGTGTCGACTGCTTTTTTGATCTGTGCATGATTTCCGAACTTTTCTCCCATAAGAAAACTCTTCAACGACCGAAACAAAAAATAATCTGATGGGGCCAGGGACTATAAGGTGCGTGGCACAGAAGTTTCCAACCAAGCTCGTCGATTTCCCTTGTTTAAAATCATACCACAAAGCGGCTCGAAGTCGAAACTTTTCGTCTTGCATTTTGTACCTGAAAATATTGTTAAATTTGTAGAAATTTGTGAGAGTCAAATTTAATATGAAAGTATAGAGTGTCTAGCTGATATCTATTTGAAAAAAAAAATCGCATAAGCAAAGAACTGGAAAATTGCCAACAACGAGACTTCAAAACCGACATGACTTTTTCCTCAGCCTAATAGAAACGAATTGTTTATATTAGATATATTAGGCTATATTAGCTTGATATAATAGAGAAATATACAGAAATAAACAAATTCTTTACCAATGATCACTCAAATCAGTTTGGATAAGTAAGTTTGATCAAAAATTTAACACGAAATCAATTTGAAGCCAACAAATCTACAAATAAGAGCTAATTTCATTGAAATTTCATTGAGATTAAGGCTTTTATCAGAGTTATTAGGCTTTCCAGGAAATCTTTTCGTTTCTTTTTATACTTTCGTTGAAAAATAACAAATTCACCAATGAAACCCCTGGTTTTTTCTTAATAAAAAGTGTCTATTGTTCAATTTTCCATCTTTTTTTAAATCAATTTGGATCTTTTTAAGTTCATTTGGGTTCACTTTCAAGCAAATTCAAGAGTGAAATCGATAAAAATCTACGTGTTTTTCGTAAAAATCTAGAAAAAGCTCTACGAAGAAATTGGCTGAATGAAAGTCTATGAAAATTTGGCGATATACCTAACTTTTCATGCTCTATCTTTTATCTTTTGACACCAAGATCAGTTTCCTTAGCTAAAGTGTCTAAACCGAAGGTTTAGACAAGGTTTTGCTCAAGGTAAGTGCTATTCGATACGAAAAAATGCACTAAATTCGAATCTGAAATCTGGAAATCTGATTTGAAATTTAGAATGCGTCTGACAGATTTTTTAAAACCAAAAAAAACCTTTTTTTTAAAACTATTTTTCAATGTAAACGTCAAAATTACCTCTCTTTTACAGGCTGGTTTTTGGCGAAAATGAAATTTTGGTGAGCGTCCTATACCAAATTCTATGCTCAAGGGTTTTGTGCACATCTTGAAACCAAAAACAAATCATTTGGGTGAATCTGTGAAAAGTTGACGCCTTTTGAAGGTAAAAGTAGTGTTTTTCGACTTTCTGCACCATACTGTACTGTAATAATGTAAAAACATAACCCAATGAAATCCTTATTGTGAATTTGAGCAGAGTTGTTCTTTGACGCGCCTGTTATCTGTGCTGTAAAATAAAAATCATTAATTGAAATGAAAATTATGTAAATGATAAAAAGGAGCAAAATAAAGACAAATAAAGACAAATAAAGTGAAAAAATTAATAAAAAACACATTTGTTTCTTTTGTAATTTATAATTTAGCGTTTTTCTGTAATGGTTACGGTAATTTACGCACTCTTTATCGCGCAGAAAGTTGAAAAACGCTACTTTTGAGTTCAAAAAGGGTTCAACTTTTCACAGATTCATCCAATTGATCTCTTTTCTTGTTTCAAGGAAAATGTAGGCAAGAATTTAGGCTTCAATTAGAGTAGAAATGAATGAGAGCTTCAATTCTCTATATAACGCTTGGGGT